CGCCCAAACCGGCCGGCGCCCTGCCCTGGAGGCCGGCACCGCCGCGGGTCAGCAGTCGGCCTTCAGTTTGTCTAGGGAATTGTCAATTTTGGTCAAAGTCTTTTTGATGCGCAGGGCTGTGAGCCTGGCCGAGGGATTCTGGTACCAGCACTCCTTCATCAGCTTGGCAAGAGATGTTAACGTCTGCGGAGAGAAGGAACACAACACGTGTGAGCACACAGGAGAGCACTAGACCGGTCAAGCACTAACATTGCCTTGTTAATACTCAATTCCCTGACTACAGAGGGTTTACTGATATCCATCAAATACACAGCTTTCAAGTGTGGAAAGACATCCCCAAGTTTGACAGCTTGGTTAAACCAAGAGAACAACCAGACTGGCGTGACAAGCTATTGTCATTTTAAACAGTGGAGGTTTGGGTTTTTACTAATTAAGAGAACACTGCATAATTCCTTTTTAATGCTGCGAGGCTGATGAAGGAAGCCTGAAGAGGGACAGGTTTTCCACCTGTGACTTTGCTGTGTCCGGTGCAGCGTTAAAGGGCTGGGACCCACAGCTGCCTGGTGCTCTACCACCCAAACCTTACAGATGGGGTCCCTCGTCCTCGCTGGCCCTCACCAGCCCTGCAGATTCAGACCGAGCTCCACAGCTTCAGTAATGAGGAGCAAAACCGCTGATCAACCCTATGATGAAGGAGACTGAACTTCAACGCTCGCCCATCCAAAGTGACAACAGTCCCTTATCCTGTCAGCAGGAGAGGCCAAAATCCGGTTCTAAATCTGTGTGCTGATACACAACAAAGCCCTGCACAGGGCTCCCTTCCCTTCAAGAGCTTTGCCCTTGCAGAGGGAACACCACCAAAGGAAGAGCAGCTTTAAAACAGCCACTGGTGAATCCCGCTGCTAAAAGGCCAAGACGTAACAGTCCTGAGTTTGCTCACTGCGTTTTCCTCCTGCTCCGGATAAAGGGCCATGCCAGCAGAGTCTGAAATCTGCACAGGTAATGGTCTGACAAGCAGCACTGAGACCACTTCAGGGGATAACTGGAAGTGTCACTTGTCACTTGTTTATCTTGAAATGAAGTCAACTGCCATGACATTACTTCGTAAGACGGCTCACGCGGTCGGCACAGCCACTTACGGGGTCTGAGAACCATCTGTTGGGAATGTTGGGCCGCTGCTGATCCACGCACACCACTTTCCTCATGTCCTCAAAGCTGGGGTCGTTGGGCACCAGGTCGTAGAAGGGGGGTTTGTAGTCCTCCACGATGCCTGGTGAGACACAACCGGAGGCGCTGGTTAACCCCTGTCGCGACACCGCGTCTCTGCGCGGAGAGCACGACCTCGTCATCCGAGAGGCATCAAAGTCTTTTAAACGTGAACACCACGGTGCCAAGCAGCCCCTCAACACCAGAACAGCACTTACCAACACAGGAACAGCTTTTTTACCCAAAATGTTAATTAACTGGCTCCTGTTACAGCTCCACAATGTAAGAACTACATCCATTTTGCAGATGCTTGAGCTAAAGTGATGAGAAATAAATCCACCTGCCAAAAGGCCGTCTTTAATGGAGGTTTTCTGGGATTTCTGCTACCAAACGGAAACATTTTAAGGTCTGCACTGTGGTTTTTAATAGGCTTACCACACACTTTGCGTGGCTTTATGGTTCATGAAGGAGCCCAATAAGCACATCAGCATCCACAGACCCTCACGCTGGTGCTTCAAGTAATTTGATTTCTTGTTAATAAAACAGCCAAATGCCTAGGGTAGCTGGCACCACACACCATTGCCAAGCCAAGCGCCTGGAGCCCGTGGCACCTGCAGTCTGGATGCATTTTCCAGGATTCCCTTTGAGAAATGCGTCTGTGTGTGGTGTGTCCATGTCTGTCTGTCCCTGTCTGTGTGTGCTCACAGCTTGTCACCAGCTGACAAAACCAAAGGCTAAGGAGCCTTTTGCTTCTTCCTATAGCAGCCATGCAGCGCTGCTGCTCTGCACTGGATTTAGCTCACAAGTGATTTACTGGGAGCGCAACTTCCTTAGGAAGCCAATTTAAAAACTGGTGTTCAGAGACAGGCACCTGGGTGAGCGGCTTCAAAAAACACCGAGTGAATGAGGCCCTCTGCGTACAGGAGAAACAGGGGCAGAGCAACCTCAGATCTGCTTTTAGCACTGGCAAATGTCCCACATGAAACTCAGGAGAATTTCTGTTGCTTTGGATATACTGCAGTTGAAAAGAGGGTCTCAACCTCGGCCACAGTGGTTGGGATTTCGTTTTCTTGTTCTGTTGGAGATGAAGATCAAAGTCCTGTAGATCCTCTGTAAAATCTGCAAATCCCCATCTGTGATGACTACGTGAAATGGTGTGCAGGGAATCACAGCTCCCTTAGGAAACAGCTGGATGGCTCAGAGATCCGAGCGAGTTCCCAGGCGTTGTGTTGTGGATGCAGGACAGACCATTACAAGCATCCCTCACCCTCCTCCTCCAAGCAGTTCATAATTGCATACACAAACAACCCTGCAGGGCTGAACCCTTGTCTTTATATCCTGCTCCCTCCCTGAACACAGAATACAGTGACTGGGAGGACTCAAGAATTAAAACGACCTCGTGTATCCACATTGTCTGCACTCCCGTTTATCCAGATCAAGCAGTGAGCTAAGGGCAGAACGTGAGCCACATCGTACGGCTCTGAAAACGTGTCACTAGGCTACTACAGATGAACTTGGCTCTAACTGACTGTTCCCATGTGTTTTCCCCAGCACAGAGCAGAGCTGGCAGTTTCAGACAGGACACAGCACCAGACACGGGTGCAGCCTCTGCCCCAGTGAGTGGCTCCACCGCAGCCACCCCACGGCCCCCATGGGATCCTGCGGCTCCGCAGCAGCGGCCAGCGGTGCCAGGGAGCCCCACAGCGCCCACCCCGACCTGCGGCACGCTCCCCTCACACACTGCCCCTGGCACAGCCTGCAGCTGGGGACTGCTCCTCTCGTTTATAACGCAGTGCGTTGGTTTTTTCCCTGAGGTTGCTGGCCTTTCGCTGCTCAAATCAACTCGGATACAGGGCAGCGCCTCCCTCACCTTTACTCCTCGTCACTTTAACACCAGCTCATCCCACACGTGCACCCATCAGGACTGACATGAATGGCTCAGCCACAGCCTGGCACATGAGCAGTGACCACGCACCGGGGTGGCGGTGAGCAGAAACCACTTCATTTTGGTGTTACCATTGAAACAACCAGCAACAACAACAGGAACAACGGCGGAGATTCACCAGGACAGCACCACAAGCACCAGACAGGGAACATGTGAGCTCTGCACGCTGGAAGGGAGCACTTCAGAGGTGGTGAACAGCCCCTCTGCAAGGAGCATACATGCCTTGTTTAAAGAGGGAAATACTGATCTGGGGGCTCACATCACGTTTCTCAGGTACAGAGAGCAACGCTGGCTCCTGCTACAGCACAGAGACATCACACGAGTGCTCCTGGCTGTGCTGAAGGAGTTTTCTACCACACTCTCCTCCTACTGAGCCACAACAGAAAAGTACTGAGAAATGCTGTGCCACCTTGAGGACCATTAGAGAAGTTAAAAAACAAACAGAAATAACCCCCAAACGCTAAAAATAAAAATAAACATTTCCAATTTTAACAAGTATCAGACTGATCAGTCAGATTACGACGACTCCAGAGCTTCCACAAGCTGAAGCGGGCTGACTTACTGGAGCAGACTCTGCTTTTCCACCAAGTAAAGGGGTGGACAAGTGTCCATCAGCAGCACCCATAGCCAAAAAGTGTCCCCAGGCCACCCGGGACACAGCAGCGCCCAGCTCACACCAGTGTGCGGTGCCTGACCACAGCACACCCACCCCCAGAGTGCCAAGGTCTCCCTGCACACCACACAGGTTATCTGAGGGACCGCTGATGAGTAATGGTTTACACACAGCTCTACACGTGGAGATAAAACCTTCGCTTCAGTTCAAACCAGTGCTTCACTGACAGGAGCAGCGTTGTGATGTATCTGTGACAAGTGCCCCCACGGCGGCAGGGCTCAGCCCGACTCAGTGCGGCTGCTGCAGCAGTGCCCACGTATCACACTTCTGCATGGGAACTGCTAAATAATAGGTACTGCTTTAGGGAATTTTCATTGCAAGAGGTAATGTGGTAGGACTGTGTGTATTTCTATAGATTATGTGCAGTACACACACACCTTCGGGTTTAGTGGGAATAGCTCAGACAGACACAGCCAATAAATGCATATAAGGAGTGGGAATTTCCTCGGGTTTAAATGTGTCACTGTTAGCAACCCACCACTGTTGGGGTCTGCACACACCCGAAGGGCATCTTTGACATTCTCCTTTTCTCCAGAAAACACAATCTGAGGTCCTGAAGTCAGAGAGGACTTCTGAACTGACAAGAAATCACACCACACACACCCAGCTTGAAGGCTCCTAAATCCAGACACCCCTGCCAAGGAAACGCAGAGCAGCCCCGCAGCAGCACCTTTCCCACACAGGGCTGCACTGTGACCAAGTCCTGCTCTGGGAGTGGTAAGGAAGAGCATCCCTCAACTCCCATCACTTCACTCCCACGCATCTTCCCTCTGTTCCTTGGGTTTTGTCACAAGAAACAGCCACCTAAAGCATTCAGCTGTGGTTCACATGGGAAAAGTTCAGAGATTTTGTCATCTACAATTTTACCTTGACTACTTGGTATGAATTATTTCTCATCACGATTTAGGGTGCAGCAGGGGACTAACAGAGGTGACAACACTCACCCATTACACCTAGCGCACAGACAGCTCCAGCACGGGCAGCAAAGCGCCAGGAACAAAACGCTCTGGAGGTGCAGTGTTTTGTGTGATCCCCTGGCTTTGGTGGCAGATGCTTTGCTGCGAGTTACCACGTGTTGAACCCCTCTACAACCACTCACCGTTGCTAACCATGCGCCTGGCCACTTCCCAGAGCACCAGCCCGAAGGCCCAGATGTCGACCCTCTTGTAAGAGTCGAAGCAGTCGGCCTGGATGCTCTCGTCCAAGACCTCTGGAGCCATGTAGCGCTTGGTGCCCACGCGGGGGTTGTTGCCCACGTCCAGCTGATTCGTGCTCTGGGAGTGCATCACCGCGAGGCCTGCGGGACAGAAAACACCGCCGTTACATCTCCTGGAGAACAGCAACAGCGCGGTGAGACACGGGCAGTGACACCCATCAGCTCCTCAAGGAGGGGACAGAGAGTCCACGTGTCCAAAGAGCAACGCGGTCAGCCCCAAACCAGCCCCAAACCAGTCCCGGTGTCCGCAGACCGAGACCGATGACCTCCTCAGGGATCGCCGTGAACCCTGTTGTTGCAAAACGCGGTCCTTAAGCGTTCTGCAGCCGCTGGATGTCACCAGCGCTCCGGGCACGTCCGCACGGGAGGCCGAGCATGTGCTGCTTGGAAGAAAACAATTCTGTACGGCCTTCAAATTTATTTATAGAGCTTTTGGGTGGGCGGACACATCCGAACTGTGGGGGAGAGGGAAGAAAAACACTGCGTGATGGCTACGCGCAAGTTAGAAAATAAAGCTGGAGAATAAAAAACACGGCGCTCGCAGAGGCTTGGAAAACAAACATCCTCAAGCTGATCTGAAATGAGTCAGTCAAAACCACTCTACCTGGTTTCACTAATTACCAAACATTTAAGCAAAGAACATTATGTGAGGGACTAAATTACTGTAAATTTGGAAACACACAGAGCTCTCGTTTTGCCGCGGTAAACAGCGAGCACTGCAAATTGAACACCAACAGTTGCCTGTCAGAACTGAGCAACAGAAGAGACGACACAAACTCTCCCCAATTTCCTCAACAACTCTCAAGAATAACACACGCTGTTGACATTGGACCCGAGTTTATTTTAGGTGAAACTTGCACAGCTTTTCAGCTCAGCTCCACAAAAAGAGTTAACCTGTCACCAGATCACTGGTTTTCTCTTCCTTCCCAAAAACAGCCTGTACTTTCCTACCATTTAAACAGACTTCAGGTAACTCCAAGTCACTAGGGAAATGCTTACAGCACCTCTAGAGAGATACCATCTACTACTGACCCCTCAACTGCTGAGATGATGGTTTGGGAAGTCTGCTCTCCAGATAAAAACACTGTCATACGTGTGTGTGACATATTTACACACGCTCATGCGCTGATAGAGTTGTTTATATTACTTTACAGTATACAATATGCACGAATTGTAATATTAAAAAACAGTTTGCACATTGGAAACAAAGGTCAGCAAAGTTCCTGGCAAACTCCGAAGAAGCCAAGACTTTGCAGAATGCCATGATAAAAACCGTAACGCTCCATCCAAATTGCAAAGTTCCTGGCAAACTCCAAAGAAGCCAAGACTTTGCAGAATGCCGTGATAAAAACCGTAACGCTCCATCCAAATTGGGCAAAACAGCCCCAGTGGAGCGACAGGACAAAGGTTTGGTGCCGAGGGACAGAGCCAGCAGCCCCACTGCACCCGGGCAGTGCTGCAATGAGGGCAGGGGGCGGCCGTGCTGCAATCGGGCTCTCCTCATCTGGGAGCAGACGCTGCCCTGCACCTCGGATCCCGGTGCACGCTATGGGGAGCACCAGTGTGGTCAGAGCAGCTCTACTGCAAGGGAACAACTCTTTACAGAAAAAGCTGGACAAGGACACAAATCGACGGAACACAGTGGTTTCCAAGACACCAAGAAATCCTCTCTAGTGTGCACTGCAGCATCAGCCAGAAACAAAACCTGAGCAAATATGTTTTCCTAGAGCTCTCTGCACCTTCCTTACAAACACCCGTGGTTGTTTCACATGGACGTTCACAACTCAGTGTGGAGGGGCAGGGAAGCAGGGAAGAAGAGGAGGGTTGGACTCTTTCTTTTTGTACCAGCATTACTCTGCTGTTCTATCAGGTTGCTCAACTGACACTTATCACCGTGCACGCGAATTGCTTTAGCAGGGCAGAACTTTTCCACAGTGCTGACAGCGGGACTGACACCCACCCTTGGACTTTACCACAGGGTTTCTGCTGAGACAGAGCATGTCTGAAACAGCCCGTTTCAGAGGTGGACAGCTCTCCTTTACAGATAAGGAACAAATGAAAAACGTCAGACACATGCCTGAGGTTCTCACGTTTGAAAAAATAGCTATTTTACCACCAGAAAACTACCTGGGAAACGTTTATTGCTGTGCTCTCAGAAAAATCTCTCAAACACCTGAGGCCTCCAGACAAGCAATGTGGCAGATGTCACTGTATCAGTGTGATGTCAATCAACGCCAATATGTGCTGTCCTTCCTCAAAATGAACTACAAGTTCATTTAAAAGCCAATCTCTGAAGTTCTGTATTTTTCACTTACCATGCCTTCTGCAAATTTAGATGGGCCCAGGTGTGTGGCTTTCATGTTTTCCCTGTATCTCATGTCTCTCAGGCAACAGTGACAGAAACTATGCAGTGGAGTTACTGAATAAAATCCCATCTCCCAGCAGACTTTCTGCCCAGGCAGTGACTGCCCAGTGCTGCTGTCCTACCACTGCTCTCCCTTGTCTTGAGGAAAAGAATTAAGAACTAGCCAGACATACCAAGCCACGCTGCTGGAACTGTCTCACAGCATCCTACCAGCTTAAATTAACATCAGTTGGTCACGGAGGACCCAATTTTGGGCTCCTTGGTGAAGGACTCAGGCTGGACAGACCTGGGGAGCCTGGGACAGTGAGCACGTGGCTCTTGGGCTGTAAGAGAAAGGACTTGAGTGACTCTGTTATGGACTTAAGTAAGGGCTGTAGGTGGAAGGGAACTGGGGGGTTCAACTGGAGAAGAGAAGCTGAGGGGAGCCCTTATTCCCTCTGCAGCTCCTAAAGGAGGGGTTAGCAAGGGGCGATCGGGCTCTGCTCCCCAGGAACAAGCGATGGGATGAGAGAGAGGAAATGGCCTCAAGTTGTGCCAGGGGAGGGTAAGGTTGGAAATTTGGGAAAATTTCTTTACTGAAAGGTTTCTCAGGGCCTGGCAGGGGCTGCCCAGGGCAGTGGTGGAGTCCCCATCCCTGGAGGGGTTCAACAGACGGGAGATGAGGGGCTGAGGGACGTGGGTCAGTGGTGGACAGACTCGGTGATCTTAAAGGTCCTTTCCAACCAAACAATTTTGTGAGTCTATGACATTTACTAGTTAAGAAACAGGCCGAGGCCTAACAACTGCTGCTTTCCGTGATCCGCGAGTGGAATTTGACAAGAAAATGCCATAAAAAGGCCAAACTCGGCCTGCTCAGGCCCTAGGCCGCAAGGGCCCTGCAGTGGGCTGCGTTCCCAGGCTGCGAGCGCCACCTAGCGGCGGCGGCGGCGCCTCCCGGCCCCGTCATTTTGAGGTTAATTCTGAGACTTTTAGGGTCAGGGTCACCCAATACACCCGATTTCTGCAGAAATGCACCCCGTACAGCGGCCCCGAAGCGCACTGACCCAAATCCGCGATGCAGCACTGCCCGTTTTTCTTGACGAGGATGTTCTTGCTCTTGAGGTCGCGGTGTGAGATGGCCGGCTTGCCCTGCGTGCCAAAGATCTCGATGTGCAGGTGGGCCAGGCCGCTGGCGATGGACAGCACCACGCGCAGGCAGCTGACGGTGTCCAGCGTGGTGAGCTGCAGGTAGTCGTACAGCGAGCCCATCTCGTGGTAGTGGGTGATCAGCCACAGCTGCGTGCTGGAGTTTCGGGAAGTCATGTCCGAGGCAATGAAACCTGGAAAGAGAGGAAGAAAAGAGGATTACAAAGATGAGGGAGGGAGTGGAGCATCCCTCCCTGCTGAGGAGCGGCTGAGGGAGCTGGGGCTCCATGCCCTGTCCATCACTGACCCATGTCCCATCCTTTAAACCCCTCCAGGGATAGGGACTCCATCACAAAACTTAAAACTGATGAACCTCGAGAACTGCTTTCAAAAACGTGGTGTCTTAAAGCTGAACCCAAAATCCAGGAGCAGCTCCCTTCCCATTACCTCTGAACGTATTGTACATGAGCACACTGCTGACCTCCATAGCTTCAGATGAGAGGCAACCAAAGTTTTATTCCTGAGTTAAAGGCACAAATCATGTCTATTAAAAGCCCACACATGACATTTGTCAAAGAACACCCACTGCTTTCTCTGCCCAGTGTGATACCTTCGTAATCTGTGATATTGTTTAATACTGCATTTGAAGAAATCCTATAACATAGCCATCCAATGTGACAGTTATCAAGACAGACTGAACACACACAGAGGAACACGGGAAACGTGCAATGCAATTTCAGCCAAGTCACTTGCTCTCCTGGGAAGGAAAGTTCAATAATTCACATTTCAGGAGGCCACCGAATTCTTTTTGTGGTAACAACGGAGCTGCTTCAGGAAACAGCAGACAAACAGCAGGCAGGTACGGGACAGAGCCAGGGAATGCTCTGACAGGAAACAAGAAGTAAAACCAATTGAAGAAAGAGATGGCTTTATTCGTAAAGGAGAGAAGGTCATGGCTGCACAGCTTCACCTTCAGCAATGGCTCACAACACAAAACAGCCATTTTCTGAGGGATGCAGAATATTCAAATTCATTGTACCTTCTTATTTACAGGGAAATGAAACATATCAGAAAGGGGCAACTATAGTTGAGGTTTAAACACCAAAGGAGCTTAGTTTGGTGCTGAGCAGAGCAGTTAAAAGAGGAGAAAACAGTGGATTTGTACTGCAGTTTATTCAGGCACAAGGAAAAGTACTTAAATATTTAATATGAACTCCTTGCCACTTTTTCTTCCTTCGTTTCTCCCAGGCAAACTGAAGGGATAAAACCCCAGACACACACAACTGCTCCATTAACGCGATGTTCCTTTGCACTGAGCTGCCCTGCAAGAGGGGCTGCAGGGCCAGACGCTTCTGTGGCACCTCCATTCTCCTCTACACCCCGTGCTGCCGAAAACCAATTAATCCAGCTGACTGCTCCTTGCTAGAGTATTTCTGCAGGAGGACAGCAGTTCATGGTTGCTACAGCACCTTCTCCAGTTGAGACTCAGCACCCTTCTGCAAGGTCCTCAAAATCTCTATTCGAGTATTTATCACAAACACTGAAGCCTCCTGCAATGACACTGTCCTGGTGAGACCGCATCTGCAATCTTGTGTCCAGTGCTGGGCCCTCAGCTCCAGAAGGACAGGAACTGCTTGAAAGAGTCCAGCAGGGCCACAGAGATGCTGGAGGGAGTGGAGCATCTCCTGCTGAGGAGCGGCTGAGGGAGCTGGGGCTCTTGAGCTTGGAGCAGAGGAGACTGAGGGGTGCCCTCATTCCTGGGGATCCATTGGGAAAGGGCAGTGTCAGGAGGAAGGAGCCAGGCTCTGCTCTGGGATGGCCAATGCCAGGACAAGGGGCAATGGTCCCAAGCTGGAGCACAGGAGGTTCAAGCTGAAGATGAGGAGAAACTTGGTCAGTGTGAGGGTTATGGAGCATGGCCCAGGCTGCCCAGAGAGGTTGTGGAGTCTCCTTGTGTGGAGACACCCAAAGCCCTGGCCGTGTTCCTGTGTGACTGCTCTGGTGATCCTGCTCTGGCAGGGGTTGCACTGGGGGAGCTTTCCAGGTCCCTTCCAACTCCTGACATCCTGTGATTCTGTGACTATGAGATACCCAGCAAATCAGCAGTGACTGTTTGTGAACTCACTTTTACACCAGCTACACCAGGAAACAGAAATAGGGTTGTTCTGCTTACCTAAAATATTTTCATGCCGCAGCAATACAGTGTTGTACAGCTCAGTTTCCCTGAACCAGGATTTCTCATCCCGAGAGGAGAAGATCTTCACAGCAACGTTTTCTCCTTGCCACTGACCCCTCCACACCTCTCCGTAGCGGCCCTTTCCTGGGGGGAGAAAACACAGCACTGGCTGTCAGCGGACAAGCCCACAGGGGAAAGGCAGGATGAGATGATGGGATGGAAACCCACAGTTATGGCCCAAATACCGCACTGGTGTAGTTTGATCAGCCCTGCATATGCTTCTCACCACTGTTACAGTCACGCTGTGCTTAATGTTTCATGGCAGTTTAAGCCACAAGTTCAGAGTACAGTCTCCCCTCCAGTCCAGTACACAGTTTGTACTGGGAGGTGGAACCCACTCAAACAAAAAAGGACAAAGAAAATCCAAAAACCCCCCACCTCTGTCCTGTGGGATCAGGGCAGGCTGTCTGCACACCAGGCTTTTTCCCCAGATAGCTTAGGGGAGCGTATGAAATCTCCACGTGCCCACCAGCACAAGGTGCACTAGAGGAACTCCTTCATGGCAGCCTGAACACGACAGCCCCAGATTCACCTGTTTTAGTCCGGGGCTTGACTGAACACCCTGAGGAGTTAAAACTTCCACTGACTTACAGGAAGGTGCTGACCCGCTCCGAGTTCAAATCACTGAAGCAGCAGCATAAAATGTATTTAAAGAGTCTTTTTTTTCCCCTAACAGGATCAATCTTTGCCTTCCTCACCTCACCTCATCAGTGCCAGCTGGGATTTGGCTCAGTGGGTCTGCCTCGGGATAACTGTGACCCAAATGCTTCCTAAAACTACTAAATTCAAATTTAGCACTATTCAATTAATTTTATATATATTTATATATGTGCTGAAGAAAAGTGTAATGGATCCTTCAAAGTAACACTAAAATTCCTGAAAAAACCCAACCCTAAAGACCCAGAGTTTTTGGGACAGGAGAGAGTCTCTCTTTTAGGGGAAAAAGAGCAGCAGCAGCAGCAGATCACTGCCCACACAGCCCCAGATCAGCAGTGCTAAGCAGGTACACTCCAAACACTCCTGTTTCGAATGGCACAGAACCACACTTTTTTTAAATGCCACTTTAGCCGCTTTACTTGATGCTTCAACCCCAGATCTCAAATCCAGATGATCCCTTTCTAATCCTAAAGCCTTCCAATTCAACACCATTTAACAAACCAACGTTTGCTTCAGTTTGAGTTTCAAACTTCAAACTGAGCTTGCTTATCTAAAAACAGTTTGTTTTGCTCACAGAGAACCCAAATGAGCCTAGTTTGTGTTTCCAAACACCGCCTTACTAAACAAAGCTTAATTTTTCCCAGTCACAAAGCACAGGTGACATTTGCCCCCTTCCTCTGCACAGATCTGAAGGGAAGTTTTTCTCTTCACTTTCCAAAACCAAGTGAGTTCTGCCAGCTGAAGCCTGAATAGTTTCATGTATCATATGCTTGTATAATAATATTCTAATACTATATTATATATAT